TTCTGGGTCTCTTATTTTTCCAGATGAATTTCATGATTGCTTTTTCTATTTCTATAAGGAATGCCATTGAAATTTTGATTGAGATTGCATTGAATCTATATAGTGCTTTTGGTAATATGGTCAGTTTAATAATATTAATTCTGCTACCCAAGAACAAAGTAGATATTTCCATCTTCTAAGGTCTTCTTTAATTTCTTTCTTTAGTGTGTTGTAGTTTTCATTGTAGAGGCCTTTTACCTCTTTTGTTAAATTTATTCCCAAGTATTTTTAGGCTATTGTAAATAGGGTGGTTTTCCTAGTTTCCCTTTCAGAAGATTTATCACTGATGTACAGAAATGCCTTTCCTTTATGGGTGTTGATTTTATATCCAGCTATTTTGCTGAATTAATTTATTAGTTCTAGGAGATTTCTGGTGGAATGTTTTGGGTCTTCTAGGTATAGAATCATATCATCTGCAAATAATGATAATTTGAGGTAATCCTTTCTTTCATCTGTCTGATTGTTCCGGCTGGAATGTCAAGAACTATGTTAAATGGAAGTGGTGACAAAGGGCATCCCTGTCTTATTCCAGTTTTTAGAGGGAATGCCTTCAATTTTTCTCCATTTAGAATGACGTTGGCCTGGGGCTTAGCATAGATAGCCTTTACAATGTTGAGGTATGTTCCTGTTATCCCTAGTTTTCAAGTGTTTTGAACATAAAGGGATGCTGTATTTTATCAAATGCTTTCTCTGCATCTGTTGAGATGATCATATGATTTTTATCTTTGAGTCTATTGATGTGATAAATTACATTTAATGATTTCCATATGTTAAAACAACCTTGCATTCCTGGGATGAATCCTACTTGACCATAATGCACTATCTTTTTGATATGTTTTTTTATTCGATTGCCAGAATTTTATTGAGAATTTTTACATCTAGATTCATTAGAGATATTGGTCGGAAGTTTTCTTTCTTTTATGTGTCTTTGTCTGGTTTTGGAATCAGGGTGATATTGGCCTCATAGAATGTGTTTGGAAGTGTTCCCTATTTTTCTATTTCATGAAATAGCTTGAGAAGTATTGGTATTATTCTTTTTTTTAAAGAGAGAGAGAGAGAGAGAGAGAGAGAGAGAGAGAGAATTTTAATATTTATTTTTTAGTTTTCGGCAGACACAACATCTTTGTTTGTATATGGTGCTGAGGATCGAACCCGGGCCGCATGTATGCCAGGCGAGCACGCTACCGCTTGAGCCACATCCCCAGCCCGGTATTATTCTTCTTTAAAGGTCTCATATAACTCAGTTGTGTATCCTTTCAGTCCTGGGCTTTTCTTGGTTGGTAGACTTCGGATGGTGTCCTCTATTTCCTTGTTTGAAATTGATCTGTTTAAAGTGTGTATATCATCCTGATTTAGTTTAGGCATATTTAGGCATATCATATGCCTCTAGAAATTTGTCGAAGCCTTTGATATTTTCTATTTTATTGGAGTACAAATTGTCAAAATAATTTCTAATTATCTTCTGTATTTTTGTAGTGTCCATCATAATATTTCCTTTTCCATCACAGATGTTAGTAATTTGAGTTTTCTCTCTCCTTCTCTTCATTAACATGGCTAATGGTTTGAACAATTTTATTTATTTTTTTCAAAGAACCAACTTTTTGTTTTGTCAATTTTTTCAATCATTTCTTTTGTTTCAATTTTATTGATTTCAGCTCTAATTTTAATTATTTCCTGTCTCCTACTGCTTTGGGAGTTGATTTGTTCTTTCTAGGGCTTTGAGATTTAATGTTAGGTCATTTATTTATTGACTTTTTCTTCTTTGAAAGAATGAACTCCAAGCAATGAACTTTTCTCTTAGAATTGCCTTCATAGTGTCCCAGAGATTTCATTATGTGACATTTACTTCTAAGATTTTTTTAATCTCCTCCTTGATATCTTTTGCAACCCATTTTTCATTCAGTAGTGTATTATTTAGTTTGCAGATGTTGGAGTAGCTTTTTTTTATTATTGATTTCTAATTTCATCCCATTGTGGTCTGATAGAATGCAGGGTATTATCTCTACATTTCTGTATTTACTAGGATTTGCTTTGTGGCATAACATATGGTCTATTTTAGAGAAGGATCCACGTGCTGCTAGGAAGAAAGTGTATTCGCTTGTTGATGGATAATATACTCTATATATTTCAATTAAGTCTAAGTTATTGATAATATTACTGAGTTCTATAGTTCTTTGTTTAGCTATTATTTGGAAGACCTATCCAGTAGTGAAAGAGGAGTGTTTAAGTCACCCAGAATTATTGTGTTGTGATCTATTTGACTCTTGAACTTGAGAAGAGTTTGATTGATGAACATAGATGCTCCATTGTTTGGGGCATATATTTATAATTATTATGTCTTGTTGATGTATGGTTCCATTAAGCAGTATGAAATGTTCATCTTTATCCCTTTTTATTAACCTTGATATGAGGATGGAAACCAATGCTTACTTACATAGGCCATGTGAATGTTATATTTTATCCCAACCTTTCACCTTCAGTCTGTGGGCATCTTTTCCTATGAAATGAGTCTCTTAAGGGCAGCATATTGTTGGGTCTTTTTTTAAAAAAAAAACTCAATCTACCAGCCTATGTCTTTTGATTGGTGAGTTTAAGTCATTAACATTTAGGGTTATTATTGATATATGATATGTATTACCGGTCATTTTTGTTTATTTTTGGTATTTAGCCTGACTTGGTTTCTCCTTTGGGTTGGCTTTTATTTTACTGTAGTTCTTCTCTTTGCAGATTTTCATTGTTGTTTTTCATTTCCTCCTTGTGGAATATTTTGCTAAGAATGCTCTGTAGTGCAAGTTTTCTTGCTGGAAATTCTTTTAGTTTTTGTTTATCATAGAAAGTTTTTATCTCATCATCAAATTTGAAGCTTAATTTTGCTGGATATAAGATTTTTGGTTGGCATCCATTATTTTTTAGAGCTTGGTATATGTTGTTCTAGGATCTCCTAACTTTGAGAATCTGGGTTAAAAAATCTGCTGAGATCCGAATTGGTCTTCTCTTATAGGTAATCTGATTTTTCTCTCTTGTGGTCTTTAAAATTCTATTATTATTCTGTATGCTAGGCATTTTCATTATAATGTATCTTGGTGTAGATCTGTTGTAATTTTGTACATTAAGTGTCCTATAGGCCTCTTGTATTTGATTTTTCAATTTATTTTTCATGCTTGGGAAATTTTCTGCTATTATTTCATTGAAGAGATCATGCATTCCTTTGGTTTAAATCTCTGAACCCTTCTCTATCCCAATAAATCTTAAATTTGGTCTTTTGATGGCATCCCATAATTCTTGGATGTTCTGTTTATGGTTTCTTACTATCTTCACTGTGAGGTCAACTTTATTTTCAAGATTGTATATTCTGTCTTCATTGTCTGAGGTCCTGTCTTCCAAGTGGTCTAGTCTGTTGGTGATGCTATCTATTGAGTTTTTAATTGTTTCTTTCATTTCAAGGACTTCTGTTTGGTTGGTTTTTTCAGTATCTCTATCGCTTTCTTGAAGCAATCTCTTGCAACCTATATTTGCTCTCTTTGTTGGTATGATCAATTTTTGCCTGTATCTGCTCACTCAGGTCATTCTTTAATTCCAAAATCATTTTAGTTATGTATATTCTGAAACTCCTTCTCTGACATTTCACCTACTTCACTATCTATGGATTCTATTGTTGTAGTATCTTGGTTTATTTGGGGCAATTTCCCCCCTTGTTTTTTCATGATGTCTATGTGTCTTCCTCTCTTGCAGTGTAGATCTGAGGTATTATAGCTTCTGTCCTATTGTCTTATAGTGTACCTACAGGTAACCAATACCTCACTTTTAAGGGAGAGATCAATATTATAGCACTCATATAAACAGAAATGATGAGTTCAGTTGTTTTCACACATATAATCAATAGGTTTGCATAATGGTTTACAGTTTCTGATGGTGGAAGGAGGGACTAAGGGGTTGTCTGACATGTTTATGAGGTAGGAAGTGAGAATATGGAGGAATTAGATTATATGATGTTTTAATGGTATTCACTGTAATGTTTCCATGACTCATGGAAAGATGGAATCTAACTGCTTGGTCCTTGGTATTCTTAATTCAAGTGTGCCAAGGACAGGTCAAAACAGGAAAAGAAAGAAAAAATAGAGAATGAAATGCAGAAAATGAAGGTAGATTACAGGGATTCCTAGTCTTCTGCTTGGGGTCTCCAAACATTCTTTGTAAGGTGTTGGCTATTTCTGCATCTCCCCTCTAGCTCTGCTGGGAGAGCAGGGCTTCCTCCTGCGCTGGTTCGCTGGCTTTCTCTGAGCCCATTCTGCCCAGAGTGAGACCTGCTGCACAGTGGTGTCTGTTTCTCTTAAACTCAGCGGAGAATTTTCTTTGGGTGCCTTGGGAGGTAGCTGCATCTCCTGCTCTGAGTCACCACTCCCTGGGTGCTGCCTCTGACTGTTGCTCATATTAACTGTCTTCCAGAAACAAATGTTTTTGGTTTTCAGCTGGTTGCTGGCTCCGAGTTGCCTGCAGTTTTCCCCACAGTCCCCTTCCTTTTCTGGTTTCCATCTCTTTTTCTTGCCACTCTCCTATCTTCTTGGTAAACTCCTTGCCATACTCTATCATTTGCTAATTCTCTGATTACAGTGCTCAGTCCTTGTCCAAGCATTTTTTTTTGGTAAAATTCTATCTTTTGTTTCAAATAGCATGTCTTTTTATTTTCATGATTCAAATTCTTTATGTATCATCTCTATCTCTTGTTGATTTGCAATTAGGCTTGTTTTTAAAAAATATTTTATTCTCCTCATATATCATTGCCTTCTTTGAGGAGCTTAAATATACTTCACGTGAATCCACTTTGAGATTGCTCGATTGGTTGTTTAATTTTCTCTCAGTGAAATCACCTCTCAACTGTTCATTGCTTGCCTTTCCTTACTAATCTAAGTCCCATGTACAATGAATCTTAATTTAATTTTGTTTTGCTTTATCCTTTGCAGTGCTGGGATCAAACCCATCACCTTATGTGTGACAGGCAAGTGCTGCTCCGCTGAGCTGCGTCCCCAGCCCTCTGCCTGGAACTTCCTTTGCCGGCTCCAGTGGAGGATGTTCGCAGCTCCCTCCTCCTATATAGCACTGCTGCATCTACCTTTCACCAGCCTCCATGAAACTTCATCCCACAATTTGGACTTATGTGAGTGCTCAATACAGTTTTAATATGCTGAACCAGACGAAGAATAACCCAGGGTTCTGCAGCTCAAGATCTAAGACCCACCACCTCTCAGACCAAAGCACTCTCTCCATGGACACAGCATTTTCCACAGCCCCACATCAGAGTCATGAAGCTCCTCATCTCACACTTATTCCTAAACACACCCACAATCAGACACATTCTAGAACCCAGCACAGGAGCCAGTCTCTTATTAAAAGAGAAGAAGCAGAATTGCAGCACACATACTGGGCTGCATCCTGGCTATTGTCCTACTCTAATAGAAGCACAAATAATGGGAAAATCTCAACCTATAAGGAGAGAGATAGGTAATCACAGTACATTAATCCACAGGAACTGAGAAACAGGGAAGGAAATCGTGTACTAGAACCTAAACGTGAGTTGGCTTCTGCATTGGCTTTGAGGCTCTGGCTCGGAAGGCTTGGATTCAGCGTGAGTACTGGCTCCACAGGCAACGAGGAGCACACGCACTCATGGGGGTTCTGCACGTGGGACTGGTGTGCAGACACGCTGGCCACACAGGGGATGCCCTGGACACTGGGTATGGGACGCTGCCCCTCCCATTTGGGCAGTGGGGGACACCATGCCATGCCTGAGTATTTCTGAGGAGCCCTGCCTGGTGTGCACCCTCTGGCCTTCCTCCTCACCTCTTGCTTGGCCTCTTCTGGGGCAATTCACTTTCATCACTGCAACTGGAGTTGGTGCAAAGGGTCCTTGACCCAGACTTGGGACTAAGTCTTCCCAAAGGGATTTGTCCCTGGGGCCTTGTTGTCTGTGGACGTGGATGAACTCATGGCACCTGCGGGTGGAGAGGGTGATACACATGTTTTCCAACTTGTGTTTTTCACCTGGACAAGGACCTCAGATGCTAGCCCCAGGGCAGAAGGTGTTCCCGATTCCTCCAGGGAAGAAAGGAGTTGGGGCACAAGAGTGGCCTCTCCACCCAACACCCTAACGAGCCCTCAGAGACCCAGGCACCTGCCCCTGTGGCGGATGTACAACTAGCTGACCTCCCTGGCACCGCAGGTCCCCTCTGCTGGGCTCAGGGCTTGGCAGATGCTTCTAAGATGCTGACCTTGACTTTTGCCTTGTTTATCCTGAAATTAACCCTCCTTTTAGGCACATTAAGCATTCCCAGATGTTTGAGAAATAACGACAACGTATACAAGGATGGAGATGTGGTGGTTGGCGGGTTCTTTCCACTTTCCACATTTCAGTACAAGCTGGACAACGAATTGACAGGCGAGTCCATTTATTTCCTGCGGTGAGTGCCATTTCCATTCATGTATTTTCTGTGTGATTATCAGGATGAATAATGCCAAGGGGTCTGGAAGGATAGAGCCACTCTGTCTCCTATCCTTCCCAACCCACCACCCAGGAACCACTCAGGATTTTTTTTCTTTTCTTGCTGAGTACTTTCTGCCCTTTCAAAGGGTAAGAGAGGATTTTGTTTTTCTTCCTGTGAGTTCCCCTTTGCATGTGTGACAGGTGAGAGGGACAGCAGTCTCCACCTTGGTTCATCATCTCTGTCCCTCCTGAGAGCTGCCAGAGCATGGGGTCAAGTGACATCCCTTAGAAAAGCAACCCAAGCCCCTGGCCTGGGCTCAGCACTAAGACACTGCCATAAACTGTCACTCCACAGAGCCGAGGGTCTGCTGAAGCTTCTTCCCTCAGCATATAGTCCCTGACACCCCTACAGGGGGCCACCAGTGTTCATTCCCCATCTGCTCGGGCAGACTTCTTACTGGGGATGTTTAGTCATTCTTTTGAACAATCTGTACAACATTATTTCATGCCAGACGTGCTCTATGCCTCCAGGAGCTGGAAGTCAGACCAGGAATGAGATCCATGAGATTTTTATGACCCTCCAATGTGATTCCGCTTCAGCTGGACACACAGGACCCATCTTTTGACTTGGATGTATCCACATCAGTTCTGTGGTCCATGTTCTGATTAATAAACAGATAATGCTGAATTCCAGAGGATTCCAGCTGACAGTACTTCTCTGAGTAGGGGGATGTCACTAAGAGTAAAGATTCCCCATGTCCCTAATCAGATACTGGAGTGACAGGTGTGTCAATGATACCTGCCCACTTTTGGGGAAAAGAATATCAACATTTTGTTTTATTTTATTGTACATTGACAATTTATAAATTTAGAGAGTACAAAATGATGTTTGATATATGTATATAATGGGGTATGAATGTATCAAACTCTACTTATCATCTTAAATAATTATCATTTTCTGGTGAAAACCATGTTTGAAATATTCTGAGGCTCATTTGCTAAATACACTCTAGAAATGTTCGTGACATTTTCTCTGGTCCTGCAGGAAAGTATTATTTCCTTCACAATTAATTAAAATATTTTGGACTGATTTGATATGTGCAAATGTTTTTTCATTGATCGTGTTATATTTGTAGTTATATTTTGTAGTTGAGTTGATCATATTTATACATACTCTGTTAAGAATACATTCTTGAAAGAGTTGCTCTTTACTATTCTATTTAACTATAGACTTTTCCATTTTAAAAGAACAGTTTTCATTTTGAGGAAGATATATTTGGTTGTCAATTACTGTAGATATTTTCATGATGTTGTTCCTTGTTTAAATATTTTTGAGTGTTGCATATTTAAAGTAGAAAGAATACAAGCCTTCAGGTAGAGTGAAGTCTCATCATTTTTTTGTTTTATTCTTTATGCCTGTTAGTCAATGTACAATTATATAAATAGACGAAAGTTGATTTTAGTACTTTATTTTTCTACAAGAACAATTGAAAGCCTCTGGATTTTATTTTGCATTAATATGAGTATATATACAACTTAATTTTGTTGATGGTGGTGCTGGGAATTGAACCCAGGGCCTTAGTGCATGCAAGGCAAGCACTCTACCAAGTGAGCTATATCCCCAGTCCCTATAACAGCTTTGTAAGACATAATCATTTGTTTCCACCACTGAGAACATTATTTCTAACTTCCTTTTTCCACTTTTCTGATGCAGGAAGCACTTATGCATAAACCCAGGTCATTTCTCTACTTTTCAATTCATCCTACTGATGCATCCATGTTTTCTGAGACCACTGCTGCCTTTAAAATATTGTAGTAATTGATGTTATTTTTCTCATTCTTCCCTTATTATTCGTAATTCTTTTTAATAATTTTCTAAACTTTTCATGTTGCCAGAATGCTAAGAAAATTTTGCTGTAACTTTGTAAAACACTTTTTGCAACATCTTGCCAAGATATACCTTTGGTAGCACCTTTTGGAGAATAGTGACATCTTGCAACATGATTTTAAATGTTTTTAGGTTTTTAGTAGAATTTTAAGTTTTATCCAAGAAGTCAGTTTAAATTTTCTTATGTTTCTTATTTGCTACATACATGTTCCCATTAGCATTGACTGTTTTTTCTAATAGCCATTAGCAATTGCGGAGTCTTTTAGTACTTGGTTGGCCTCTGAGCATCTTTCTTAGTTCTGTTCCCTTTTGTATTTTCCATGCGTTTCCCAGGTGAATAAATACTACAGCCTGGTACTGTTTCTATTCTCATTTGCCTATCATTTGTGCACATCTAATAGCTTAGAAAATCCAATAGATTATTCTATTGCTAACAGAAATTATTGTCTGATTTTATGGGAATGCAACTGACAGAGATTTTTCATCATCTTTATTCCATTCCAGTAACAGGAGGTCACAGAGTGCCAACAATGCAGATGTCAGTGTTCACAGTGTTGGCTCTGGTGTGGGGCAGCAGAGTGCCTGTTTGTGCAGCCCATCGCTGGAAGGGTGTGAGCTTACATGCCCAACACCCCCCTGACTCACCACACGTGCTATAGGTATTGATGTGAAAGAATTTTGGTTTTATCACTTAATTTTGTTTTCAATTGTCAAAATTATATGTATTTATGTGGTGCAGTGTAACACTTTGGTGTATGGTTTCATCATGGAATGAATATATCAAGCTAATTAACATATCAATCACCTCACATGCCTCACCAAGTTGATGGGCTAGGACAGGGTTATTGTTTTAGTTGTTTTGTTAAAACAATGTTAAGAAAATCTCCTCCAACAGAACACATATGGTTCCTCAGAAATAAATGTTTCCTTTTATGAAATGTTTTCTATGCTTCAATGAACATAATGGGACTTTTTCCTTTGGAGATAGATGGATATTAAATATGAGGACTTACAAAGATTATTTAAGATTCTATGCAGGACAATCTTTGTTCTAATTTAAACTTGGATGTTGCTAGTGAACTCATGTGAATTCCATCAACAACAGACATGCTCTGTTTTAAGAGTTTCTTAGAAGACTGTGTATCTATTCCTGAGTTTTGGAAAATAACATCAGAAATCTATATAGGCTCTGAATTTGCATTTTTTTCTTAAAACTTTTGTGGAAACCATATAGTTCTATTTACATATTTTCCTCTCCTTATTTTACTTTTGTGTGGACTTATGAAACTATATTTTTCTTTTAAAAAACCACAATCTTTTCCCTGAAGTCAAAGGAATGGATTCCCACTTGCCTGTTTGGCTTCACTTATAATCTCCCTTACCCAATGTTGTCAATATTTGCTTTCCCTAAAGTATTTTTCTTCATTAGACTTGTCTGAATAATGTCAATCATAATATTCTTTACAAAGAACCAGATCTGCTGATTATTTTTCTTTTAGACATACTTGACATTTTTTTCTTACTGTTTCAATCTCCAGTCTCCTCTCCTGAATTATTTAAAATTTATTTCATTTCTCGTTTACTGATAGTTTGTGAGTAAAAGTCTTAATTCACATACTCTTATTTTTTTACATTATTTAAAAACCATGATGCTCAGAGATTTTCTTTTGAATCAGACACTTTCTTTTGCTTCATTCTTTCCTCTTCTCTTTCTCTTGAGCTCCTTGTTACCACTTTCTAATTGATGGTGTCATGATTTGGATATGAGGTGTCTCCAAAAGACTCATGTTACCTAATGGAGCAATGTTCAAAGGTGAACTGATTAGCTTATGAGAGCAATGGCTGAATCCGTGGACTAATCCACATGAAGGATCAGTCATTCGGAAGGACTACTGTGCTGCGTGGTAACTAAGACGGCGGCGTGACTAGAGGAAGTAGGTTGGGGGCACGCCCTTGGAGTTTAGATTTTGTCCCTGAAGTGCCTCCTCTTTCCAGACCATCATGAGCTCCAGGGCTGCTCTTCTGCCCTGATGTTCAGCCAACTCAGGCCCAGAGCAATGGGACTGCTGCCATGGACTGAACCTCTGAAACCACAAACCTAAAGTACACTTTTCCTCCTCTACTTTGCTTTTGTCAGGTGTTTTGGTCACAGCTATGCAAGTATAATCAACACAGTTAATTTCAGTATTTAATGAGGATTTTTCTAGTGTGTGGTTTAACCAACTGGATTTTAATTTTGCCTGCTCATATGATGAGCTACTGAATTGCAATTTCTGTGGCTAAACCAAGGAGATACACACACACACACACATACACACACACACACCTCTCCCTCTCTCTCTCTCTCTCTCTCTCCTGGGGGTTTTAGAAATTCTCCATTCTTTTTTTTTTATTTCACAAATATGAATTACGCATCACAGTTTTGAGAATTTCTTTGCTGTCTCTTTTCTTTAATGAAAATGCAAAGACATGAATTTGGTTTGTAAATTCATTTTCCCCCATCTACAGTTAAATGAAAGGAAAGAAATCAAAAGGCAGAATTTTGCTGGGCATCAGTGCACACGCCTGTAATCCCAGTGGCTTGGGAGGCTAATACAGGAGAATATTGAGTTCAAAGCCAGGCTCAGCATGGGCAAGCTGCTAAGCAACTCAGTGAGACCCTGTCTCTAAATAAAAAAACAAAAATTAGGACTGGGGATGTGGCTCAGTGGCCATGTGCCCCTGAGTTCACTTTTCACTACCAACAAAAAAAGGCAGATTTTATTTCTGGAAGTATGAGCAACTAGATAGATTTAACTTCATAAGGTGGAAAGATGATTCATAAAGTGCAATTTTAATTGCATTCATGAGCTTTCATGATTTTGTCAAAGAAATCTCCTAGGATAGAAGAAATCCATATGAGCAAATGAAATTTGGAGTTAAATGACAGCAATCCAAAAATTAAAAGAGTTTTCTTTAGGTCACAAGCAACTTGGAGCAACTGAATTTGGGACTTCCAGGTTAACTGGAAGTCATAGAAAAGAAAAAATACTCAACGAGGTATCACCTTACATGACAAAGAGCAGAAGCCAGTGACATTCTTCTTGGAAGAACAGATCCTAGACGTAGAGGCCAGGCTTTCCATAAGTCAGAGTCTCATAAGGATGAGTTTAAGTCAAAGTGCACCAACACCCAAGGGAACGAGGCATTGTTAATGATGACAAAACAAATGATACTGAAAATAAAAAATAATAGGATTTGAGCCCCAAATCCTCAACTGTTTGGTGTACTAACTTCAAAAATATAGAAGGACTGTTATGCACTATTCACAAAAATAAAAGATGGAGTAATAGAAAAAGGAGGAAACTGGAAACTATCAAAAATGATCAATTTGAAGAACAGCACTAAAGCCTTTTAAATGTTAAAACTTTAACTAATAGATGATATAGGACACATGCATGTAGAGAAGTAAATTCTAATTCTGAAGAAAACTTGGGACCAGCACAGAAAGTCAAGGACTAGGAAACATGAAATGAAAGTACACGTGGAAGAGAGAATGAAAAGAAGAACAGGAGACCAAAGACAGTGATTCCCCTAGGGACAGCTGCAAGGTGAAGGGCCCGTGAACCATGCAGACCAGGTGACACATCCACTTCAGAGGGCATAGTCTGCTGTGCACATCAAATAGAAGCCAAGAAGTTCTAGAAAAATAAATTAATTGAGAGCAAAGAAAGCCTGTTCATAATTACAAAAAAGGGCAAATAATCAAATTCTTCAGTTAAATACAGATTCCCAATGGAATAGAAAAATCAAAGATTTACAGAGAAATGCTAAATAAAAACCACATGGAACAGTGCCAATTCTAGATAAGGCAGGAGCTATAAATATGCACTAGGCAGACACCAAGCAAAACAAACCCGGGGCTATTGTGAAATCCAATACCACGAGAAAAGGGAAAACTCATCTTGACAAATCAAAGGGCCCATTGAAAACAGAATAAAATTTCAACCAATCACAAAGAAATAGTAATTGTTGGGCTGGGGATGTGGCTCAAGTGGTAGCGCGCTCGCCTAGCATGCGTGCGGCCCGGGTTCAATCCTTTGTTCAATACAAACAAAGATGTTGTGTCCGCCGAGAACTAAAAAATAAATAAATAAATAAATAAAAAGAAATAGTAATTGTTATATTACATATTATATTATTTTAATATTATAGCACCTCAAGTATAAAGAAAGAAAAGAAGGAGGAAGAGGAGAAACAAGTTATGTTATTTGCTTTAGCTACAAATTTAAAGGCCTTACAGAAGCCAACTATACGTGCAGATTGACTTGATCCTTAATTGGGGCCTTCATTGTTAATTAGGTCATTGACTCAGACAGTGCAGGCTGCTATAACAGCATACCATTTGTATTTGTTGTGGCTTACTACACAAATATCTATTTTTTCACATCTCTGGAGGACAGGAATTCCAAGACCTGCACATGCTGGATTCCCTATCTGGTGAGGGTCTCCTTCCCAGTTCACAATGGCAGCCTGTATTTTCGATGTATTCTCTTCCTGCAGAGATGAAGCAAACTCTTGCTGGGCTTTCAAAATGGCACTAATTCCACTTCTGAGAGATTTGGCCCCATGACCATATCTAATCCAAATTAACTCCCAAAGATCTCGCATTCTAACACCATCAGTTAGGAGGTTTCAACGTAGGGAAACAAGTATTCCATTCATAAAAGACATTGCTTTTGATTGAAAGATAATCATGGTTGGAGTCTTATACCTAAAGATCCCTCTGCCCTCTATGCAGGTTGCAACCCAAGAACTACCAGTATGTCCTGGCATTGGTTTTTGCCATTGAGGAGATCAACAGGAACCCCCATCTTTTACCCAACATGTCTCTGGGATATGAGTTTCATAATGTCGTGCACAACCATCGGTTGACCATGAAGAGCACCCTCATTTGGGTCACAGGGCTGGGAATGGCCATCCCTAATTACACCTATAGGAAAGAAAGCAAGTCAGTTGCATTACTTACAGGAACACTATGGACATCTTCTGCCCAAGTTGGGACCCTGTTGGAGCTCTACAAATTTCCACAGGTGAGGGTGGGTGGGAAGAGGTTAGACCATTTTCCTTTGTTGCCTTTCTCAGGGGCCTACAGACAGTGAAAGGAGAAGACAAAGTGTATACCAGGTGACACGTCCACTTCAAAATGTTTCAAAGGATAAGGACTCAGAGACTGCTTAGGTATCCACATTTGCTTTCTTTGGAATAGAGAGGAGAAAACAGATCAAAGGGTTTCCCAGAACATGAGCACTAGTCAGTACCCTTACAGAATATGGAATTGGGAGATGATTAGAAAAACTAGACAAGCAAATGTTCAGTTCTACCACTTCAAACTGCTGTGTGACACCTGTCAGTTCTGAGAGGGTGCCTGGTGCCAATTCTTTTCCTCACGTGGCTTCCATGTTCCTCACCTTCAGCTCACCTTTGGGCCTTTTGAACCCATCCTGAGTGAAAATGGCCAGTTTCCTTCTATCAGATGGCCCCCAAGGACACATCTCTGGCCCTTGGCATGGTGTCCTTGATGGTTCATTTCAGCTGGAACTGGGTGGGACTGGTCATCTCAGAGGATGAGAAAGGCATCCGTTTTCTCTCAGACTTGAGAGGCGAGATGGACAGGAATGGAGTCTGCATGGCCTTTGTGAATATGATCCCATCCAGTGTGTCATTATACCTAAAAAGGCCTTACTTGTATTATAACCGGTTAATGACTTCAACAGCAAATGTTGTTATCATTTTTGGTGATATGGACTCTTCCCTGAGCATGAGCTTTAGAACGTGGGACTATCTGGACACTTGGAAAATCTGGGTCACCACCTCCCAATTGGATGTAACGACAAGTGAGAGCCATTTCATCCTGGACCCATTCCATGGCGCACTCATTTTTTCTCAACACCATGGGGAGATTTCTGGTTTGAAACATTTTATCCAGACAGCGAATCCTGCCAAATACCCAGAGGACACATACCTTGCTAGGTTGTGGTGGATGCATTTTAACTGCTCAGTCTCAAAGTCTGAATGTAAAACATTGGAGAGCTGTTCTTCCAAAGGCTCCTTGGCATGGTTACCACGGCACCATTTTGACATGGCCGTGAGTGACGGGAGTTACAACATATACAATGCTGTCTATGCCGTGGCC